AATCTCGAACGACGTGCTAGCGTCTATGTCCGTCTAGGGTTTTCAAAAATCCGTCCTCTCTTCTCACTTTTGGCCGTCCCTTATCAGCTTAGTGCTTTCGCTCTCACTCTTAAAACCCTAGCTCCTCATATCAAATATATAGGATGCTATAGGTTTAATGAATGATTTTTAATTTCGAAATTAATCCTAAATTAATTCTGAAATTAATACAATATCAAATATTGCCTAATCAGATAAGAGAATAATTAAATAAATATGGTTTATATTAAATCCGTCTCACAGATTTAATTCACCTATTTATTTAATTCAAAAATAAAGATATGACGGAATTAATTTACATAGATCTAATTTATACTTATAAATTAAATCTAACAATTAATATCTCTTATATTTATATAATATATATATATATACGAATATATATATACATGTCCACCCTATATTATTCATTGAATCTGGACATATCTTAGATTCAATGAATCTGGACATCATAACTCGCGTTCGGCTATTTTGTGTGCGACCCTGTAGGCCCATATGAAGTTGGCAGTGGGCCATTAACTATAATGACTCACAAGTCGTAAGCGGTCTCTAGCAAGACATCACGACTACCCAAATCATATGAGGATCGTTGAACGATGTAACCTTTCATACAACCATATCGCGTCCCTTTTGTCACACGACATTTTGGTCATGGATGAGGCATGGAGAACGTCATCCTCCTATTCATGACCGTTACTTTCTCGATCCCTGAGTAGTCTGAGTATAGAAACGGAACTACCTTTCCATTATAGTATGGCCATACATTTCTCAGACTCACTCATCGAGGGGCCCAGTAATGTCTCTCTACGAATGTGAGGGACAAATTCCATCTTGACCATTCACATTCCTCCGCATGAAAAACCACTAAGCCTGAACATAGTCTTTATGATCACTCGGTCAAAAGTGACTTTTGACTAGGTCAAAGCTAAGCGTTTCTCATGTAGGAATCCATGATGATCTCAGGTCAAAGGGCACAGTGACATGGTTTGTATATGAGAGAAGCTTATGACTTAACCCATGCAGCTCTCTCATAGCGGGTCGGTCCAACACCTTGTACTCTTACATGTGCCTATGACTTTAATTTATATCTCTATATATCTTTAAAGTCATACTGGTCTTATTTCATCTCTGCTCCCACATAGATGACCGACCAGGGATATTTAGGATAAACCATGAGTTATCCAAGGATAGTCATCACAGTAAACATGCAAATAATATGATAACGTAATTAATAAATTCATAAATTAACAATGTTCAAAACATAATGATTGGCCCCTAGGGCACAATTTCCAACATACACGTCAATAAAAACCCCATAAATTTACAAGACTCTCTAAAATCACAAGAAAAATGCCCAATAAATTTGGAAAAAAACAAAAGTACCTCAACACCATACTTGATGGCGGACGGCCACACCACCAAGAGTGTCCAATTTGGAAACTCGATGCTCTATATAATTAAGTCCACCGCCTCCCACCCCTCCGTTCTGCAAACCATTCGATGGAGACATGAACTCCGATTGACCACCACCAACACCAAGATCTACAATCTCAGAAAGGAAAGTTCAGAGACACAAACACACATACATGTAAATAGTAACCAGCTACGGAAATGAAAGGGTAACGAAGCTGGAGGGGAAAATTCTCCCAGTAGTGGAATTGAGCAGAGAAAATTTTGACTTGAGGAAAGGAAAAGGAGAGAAAAAGAGGAGGATGAAGCTAGCCGGAAAACTGGAACAATCACCCACGACCAGTGAAGGAAAAACAGAGCACATTTAAGTATCTAAGTCTAACTGAATGAAAATTACTAACAAGAAGCAAGAGCACAGAAGCGACCACCTGCGGCTGCGACGTGCAGATCTACTTGAACCACAATGACCTGCTGCTTCAATGTCCGAACTGGACGACCTGATGGGAAGATCTGGGACCTCTGACAGTGAAGAAAACTCCAACAAAATAAGGGTGGATTCAGCTAGCAATTTTCAATTTGGGGGAGGGAAGAAAAATGGCGAAAAGCGAAAGGCAAAACTCACTGAAGCTGGCCTTTGATTTCGACCTGCCTGCTTTGTTTTTTTTTTTCCCCAAAGTTTGCCTGTTTAACTACGTCATTTCCTGGGATTCAAGGTTGGAAAAAAAAATAGTTCAAACCGGGAAAACCATCAGACCGCCGGTTTTCCCGGTTATGACCGGTCGGTTGAACCGGTTTAAAAACGGTTCAATAGACCAACGATTTTTTCAACAACCCAGACCGGACCAGCTACCAGTTCACCGGTTTTCCGGTTGAACCGGCCGGTCCGGTCCGGTTTTTTTTTTTTCCTTGGTTATTATAATATCTCACAGACTACAAATATAGTACTCAATAATTTTTTTTCAACGACATATATCTAAATAATTTAATTCTAAAACATTACTCCTATTTTTTTTTTAAAAAAATATTTGTGACTTTTACTCACAATCTCAAAAATAAATTCAAAATACAAAGAGTTTTGTTTTTGATTGGTTTATCAATATATCTATAAAAGTAGAACAGTCGGCAGCCCAACTAGTGACACGAGTCGGGCAAGTGAAATATTAGCACACCCACATTCAGTTAGAGATAACAAAAGATTAGTAGAATATTAGTAGATTATCATGATTATTATGATTTATATATATAGAGTAATGTATATTAATTTCCAGAGAAGTGCTTGAACGTGAGAATGCACGTGTGGCTATATTTCCGGTTGGGGTGTCTCCCCACAATGCTAAGATCGTGTGCACACTCACCATTTATCATGGTGTCATGCATCTAGTGCCTATGGCAGTTTGGGATAGAGCTGGTAATGCGAGCTGGTGGTATGCATACAGCCAACCCGCAGCGGTGCAAGCTGAAGTCGCCTGCATAATGCTAGCCCGCGCCTACTGGCCCGCCTAAATATCTTTTTTAAAAAAATTATTATTTGTATAGGTTGAGTTTAGTTTGAAATGTTGAAATCGGACTCGGAGTTTTGAACTTGAGTAGTATGTTATAATAAAATAATGTGAGGATTAATTTATAATTTGAGAAGATATTTTAGAAAAACTAACACATATTTTCTCTAAATAATTAATTTGACTATTTTTCTTATCCAAATTAATTAAGTAGATCTTTTATGTGTGTATTACATATGCAATTACATGAATGAGGCAATGTCAATATGGAATTTGAGGGTCAAAATCCTGTATAATATATTGGGAATTGCATGAAAATAAAAATAAAAGAAAGAAAAACAGGCTAGCCCACGGGGTGAGGGCTTAAAGGGGTGCGAGCTACTCTAGCCCGCACCTTGCTGATGCTATAAATTTGATGTGTTCTACACACATGTTGCATGCAGTGTACATTTTTCTTCTTGTATTTGCTCAAACCTCTTCTCTTGCCAATCATGTATGTCAAATGTTTGTAATGCCTTAAGTGTTGTCAAGCCTAGCCATCATAATTAGCGTATTTGTATTCACATAGTTCAATTATGGACAATGCTAACGTGCTTTGAAAACCAAGAGGTTTCATCTATTGAGCTTGTCATGCAAGATATAGAGGTGAGTTTGTACTTTATAGTTTGTGCGCTTTATCTTGGCTTTTCACTTTTTGACTTTTTTCCAGGATGATCGAATTCATAGAAATGTGCGTAGTGGATTTGTTCGTGGGCATAAGAAGAGTTCGCATGAGGAGAAAACCTGTGAGATTAGCCATTTTGATGTTATTCCCAGTATTGGGGGTTACCATTCTACCAGGCATCCATATCATATAAACTTCCAATATTTTACCGTGGTTAAGCCATAAGTGAATGGTAGTCGCATTCCGATGTATGGGTTTTCATTCAAGTCTTTTAGCCATCTCTAGTCTGGTGAGTTTGATGACCACTTCATTGTGGACGAGTGTTACTATATTTACGTTTTTTTTTTGTTATTTTCGATTGGTCTTACTGACTCCTTGATTGTGTTTTGGGTGGTGTTGTGTCAAATTTATGATAGATTTCATTGAGAAGGTCACTCCAATTGGGCCTGGTGAGGAATGCATTGTTAATGGTTGAAGTCAGATTTGTGTGGACATCAGACTAATAGATGAAGAGTGAGATGCGTGCCATTGATTCAGTTATATTTTGTCCTCTAATATAGTTTCATCTAGTGGAGAATGACCTGTTCCAATGTGCTTTGTTTTTTGTAGTACGGTGTAACATCTTGAATTTTAAGTCTAGAAATACAAAAATTAGCCTAAAATGGGCAGGCTACTAGACCCTTTTTGACAGAAGTTCCAAAAGTTCCTTAGAAGGATGAGAATATTCCCAGAGACCAAATGCAAAGAATTTTCTGGAACTACGAGACAGGCAAGTTAGAGACTCTGATAATAAGAGTAAGAGATGACACTACTACCAAAAAAAAACATAATAATTGATGATTATTTTTGGTCATATTTGACAATTAAAAAGCATCAAGTATGCCTGCATCATATATTTAGATGTGGAATATTTGACGGTTAATAACTGTCAAACATTTTTGGTAATATTTAATGGTTCTGAATTTCAAGCCGTCAAGTATTTATTACAAATTTTACCATTACTAGCTTATATTACTTGATGGTTGTTTGAGTAACCGTCAAGTATTCTAAGAATACTTGACGGTTACTCGTAAAACCGTCAAGTATCTTGAGGGTTTTATACTAATAACCATCAAGTATTTATTTTTATTTTTTAAATACTAGTACTGCTTTTCTAACAGCCCCCCTGTATTATGAAATTTCATACAAAGCAGCATTTTTGGAAAAACAGAACTAGGCCAACATTCAAACTAATATACAGCAAGTAATAATTCAGTCATATGAATCTAATTAATCACATACCGGACAGAAATTTACATTATATACATCTTAATAAAATCATACAATATGTAGTGTTAAGCCAAACCAAAATTTTAATTTGGACAAGCACAAGAGGCTAAAGCAAAAAATCAACCAAAACCAAAATTGGCCAATTGCTAAAAACCACAACAAAATTGTATTTACTAAAGCAGTCTTCTACTTCTCTATCTATTTTGTGCCCACTGACAGTGCAAAAATATTACCAGCTCTTCAATGATTTCTTCCATATGAGAGGATGAATACATTGTGCAATATGTGTCGATAAAATACTGTATGCAAAAGCAAAATTGAAGTTAGATATAAATGTAAAGCTACACTAAATATAATTCTAAAATATATAAATTGAACTTTAACAAATGCATATTACCTTCACAAGGATTGTGTCGAAATTATGCATAATTATTTCCTTCATGAATTTCATCACGCAATACCCACAATTGGAGCTTTTGTTTGACTGACATGGCCACTATAAAGAATTAGGAAAGGAAATTATATTAGTCAATAATATAAATAAACCATATTTAGTGGAATAGTAAATAATGGTAATGAATACCTTCACTTTCTTCCATGGGAAGGCTTCGTCAAATTGGCCGTTTTTTATTGGGGGCAGGGTAAGGCTTGATCTGTGCAGTATAGCCATAAAGCCCTGAGCAGACAATGAAATTGAATATTAATCACTGTCAAAAATTATATTGAAGCAAGAAATTAAATTAAATATGAAGAATAGATATAAATTTTACTTATTAAACAATGAAACCATAAACGGTCGATTGGTCGGATCCCTATTAAGAGAATCGAGATACCAAATCCTTGGCTTTATGGGATTAACCACAATCAGCATCTCCCCTGAGTATAAGAAAGACAATTAGAACAATTACAAAATATTTAAAAATAAAATAATCTAAGGAAGTGCAGTATACTGCCCCTGACAGTAAGGCGCCAAAAACAAAGTCTTCCTAGTCTTTGCTACCCTAGAAATGAAGATATCCGCCAAATCTCTGGATAAGTCTTTCCTCTTCACATTAAGGTTGTGGCCATCAAAAGCGTGGGGGCTGATAATCTTAAACTTGTGATCAAGGCCACTAGGGATTATAAAATTCTTGTAAAGATATGTAAATCAAGAAACAAACAGATTAATAGAATAAATGTTCATGTAGTTAAGTATCTAATTAAAGTTTTAAGAAATACCTGATATAGTTATAAGCATTTATGTTGGCCATTCCATGCATCAGAATTTCCTTCAATACATCATTTGTGATGTAGTCTAACGAGGGTTGACCATAGATCTCTGGCTCAAACTCTAGGGGAATCATTAAGGGATCGCCATATTCTAATCTAGCCCTCACCACATATTCCACAAGATAGATTCGGAATCTTGATGATACCGCTTGAACAAGCTTAGAGGTCTATTTCTGTGGCGTTGATAATGAGTGATCGCCCAATAGGCTCTTTTTCCCCTTAGACTGACAAACAAACTGTTCTTAATTAAAATAAAATTTATTTTAAATCAACTGAAGGTTTCAACCTATACATATATACCTTTGTAGGATGTCTTAACGTAAGAAGACAGCCAGGTCAAGCAAAAAGCTACCCACTGCTTGAGCCACTGTCTCTACATCTGGGGTGGGCATCAGAAGGGCATAATTAGGATCAATAGTAGTGTTCAACTGCACCCTTATATGATTAGCAGGGAGAGGCACATTATGAATCATGCTCTCTCTTGATAAACTTAACATACGGCCCGTTGCAACTGTGTGATGTTTAGGGCTATCCGCCACACACTAAACATCCGCTTCACCTTGAACAAACATATGATCAAGTTAGTATGATATGAAAATAATTGAATGTAATCATATAAACACAAGAGGTATTATACCTCAGGTAGCCAGGGGAATGTGCAACTGTCTTTCCCACTTGGGTTGAGATTCAAAGCCGGCTATGGTGCTTGATTCTAATTAATTGATCAATCAAGAGCACTTGGGCTTTAACTTGCTCCTTTAACCAGTGTGTTTCTTCTTTTAGCTCCATAAACTTAATAGAGGAAGGCATGCATGATGAAAAGGGCTTTTGTCGATACCTTAAAGTAATCCCTCTTGGTGACTCCATAACTGACGGCTCTAAGAAGACTAGGATGGTCAAGAGTCCCCAACACCATCCTTAATATATCCTGGTCATCTGTAGAATATACCCCTTGTGAAACTTCCTGGGACAAACTCTCTTATGCAACAAACATTCTTAGTAATGATACTTTAAGAAATTTGATAACAAATGCAAGGATTATTTAATTTAGAATAAAACTCACCATCCTGTCCACAACCTCCTTGGTGCAAGGATTATCAATTTGGCCATCTTTATTTTTCCTGGCCAATACCCACAGCATCTGACGGGATATAATGACATTTGATCCCTCCTTCTGAGTCACCTGTTGCTCGAGGCCCGCATAACCTAAGTGCCCTTTTCGATAGGGATATTCATTCTTCTTTATCCTTTCCTTATTTTGGGTGCTTAATTCCTGCAAGAACAAAGTAGATTCTGGTTAAACAATATATAGATTAAACAAAATGAACTATTTAATTTAGAATTACACATAAATATTACTTGAAATTGACTATCACAACATGACGTCATAAAAGCAGCCCAATCCTCTGGTTTGACCAATTCCAGTATCAAGTTGGGAACCTCAGACTCGTTGGCTATGGAAGGATCCTTCAAGTACTTATGTCTCACAAAATATCAAAAAGAGCATAGTGCCCTCCCAACCTTCCCTAAAACAAACTTCTTCCTGCTCTCATCTATATGAAATCCAGACTGCAAAACACATAAAAAAACACATTAGTATGAGGCAGCTTGTAAGAAAATGAAATTTGAATTATTACAAAATCTTACTCATACATCTGTCCAAATAGTATCCCATACTGAATGATTAACCCTCCTCTAGTGCTACATAGTGATGGGTATGGTGCTTCGTGCTATTGTCCCAATACAACTACTGAACTTGTTTGACCATACAGCTTGTCCTTTCTTATTCCACTATACTTGAAATTTCTTTCCTCCTATCCTTGCTTTCACTACCTCTTGCATGAAACAAAGCCCCCTCTGTATGCGCACTGCCTCTTCCTGTAGTTGTCTCTCCTGGTTAGAGGCATCCCTTAGCTGAGATGGATTGTCGATACTAGATCCACTGTCGTCTGCTATTTGTAATGAAATTTAATCAGACGAAATTCAATTAGAACCCATTAAATCAAAATAAAGTCATTAATAACAAAATTGACTTAAACAAATTAGAACAAATAAAAATTAACTATAACAATAATAAGAGAATTTACATGTTTAACTTGATCTTTTTCCTTTTCTACTCTTAGCTTTTTGTATATTCTTCTTGGTTTGAATTATTTTGATCTTCTTGCTAAACACTTTCCTCCACTTTGAAATCTATATTCCGTAATTGTGATCATGCCTGACGCATATGGATTCATCTTCATTTAAAAGAGATTCAAGTGATATCCCTTGAAATGGATCAGCTTCAATGACATTGTCTTCATACCCCGTCTCCTTATTCATTTTATTAGTCAACAAAACAATAAACTATTCTTTAGTAGCTGGATCTGGGACATAGAAAACTTGTGTAGCCTGAGAAGCCAAAATGAAAGGCTCTTTTTGTATCCTCCCTTATTCAAATTCAATTGTATGAACCCTAAATGATCAATTCTCAATGCATTATTGTTATCCACCTACTTGCCATTGAATACTGGAACTCTGAATTCAATGTAATCCAACTCCCAAATATCCTCAATCACCCCAAAGTATGACATACGTGCATAGATAGGATTTTTATCTTTGGCACTCAATATATGTTAGATTTAAGGTTTTGATGATAACAAATTAAGTAAGTTCTGGTTTAGTAAGTTGATCGATCACCTGATCAATCAAAGGTTAATCGGTCAGGTGTCAGATAAAATGTCACTCTATAAAAGTAACTTAGTAGTAAGATTGATCGATAACTTGCTAGATAAATCAAAGTTTGAGTTGATCAATCAATTTATCAATTAAGGTTAACACTATTTAGTCTACAAGTTTGCAGAAAATTAGTGATCAATTGATCGATAATTTAATGATCGATTAACTAATAGAAAGAGGCACACAATTCTGGTAAGCTTTTATCGATCACCTATACGATCAACGAGTTATCATTAAGATCACCTATACTATAATTTAATGATCGATTAACTGATAGAAAGAGGCACACAATTCTAGTAAGCTTTTATCGATCACCTATACGATCAACGAGTTATCATTAAGAACACAAATAAATGGTAAAATCTTCTTACTTACTTTGTATCCTGTTTAACTCAACTTTCACTCTGTAAGAGAGTTTAATACACCTTTTTACTCATTCTCTGAGAGTAACTCAAGAGTGTGGACTCTTGAGGGGACTGCAACCTTACAGGTAGTAAGGGAGAGTGATTGAGAAAGTTAATTACTGTATTGAGGCACCAAGAGCCCGTTTAATCTTAGGACCATGGTGAAAATCTCAGAGGTATTCTAAGGACTGGACGTAGGTCAAGTGCTTAAGACCGAACCAGTATAATCCCTGTGTTTTCACTCTGTAATGAAATCTTTCTAACTCATCTTCTCTGTTTTATTCACCTCACTGTTTTATTATGTTAAATTTTTATACCTCACCTAATTCACCCCCTTCTTGGGTAAAGCTGCCACTAACATTTAGTATCAGAGCAGGTCTCTTTAGTTAAAGACTTAACTGTCTAAAGAGAGATCCTATAGCAGGTTTTAGAGACAGTGTGCTACCCGAAGGGTGTTCAACATCAAAGCCACCGAGTTTGAATGGAGAAAAACATACCTTCTAGAAGATTAGGATAAAGATCTTCATCAAAGCTACTAAGTATGGATTATGGGACGTGATCGAGTAGGACAACTATATTCCAATGAAGACGGTAGAAGGTCAACAAGTTCGTAAGAGTCCCAGGGAGTTCGATGAAGAAGATAAGAGGCTGGTAATGTTAAATGATAAAGCTATCAACATACTGACCTATGCCCTAAGTCAAAAAGAATATTTTCGAGTCTCCAGTTTAGAAACTGCAAAGGAAATATGGGAAGCACTAGAGATTGCACATGAAGGAACAACCAGTGTGAAATAGAGCAGAATCAACACTCTCACCACAGAGTTCGAATTATTCAGAATGAAGAATGGAGAGAGTATTCAACACATAGAAGTTAGATTCTCACACCTTATCAGTCACCTCACTGTACTTGGTAAAAAGTATAGTCAAGAAGATCAAGTGAGGAAAATACAAAGCAGTCTAACAAAGGAATAGGAATCGAAAGTAACAGCTATTGAGCAAATAAAGAAAGAATCAATCGGCTCTATTGCAGCACTATTTGGAAGCCTAGCAAAGTATGAGAGCAAATAGAAATACAAGAAGGAGATGAATGAGAAAAATCATAAGGAAAATTGATGATGCCTTTGTCGTTAAAGCACTCAATTAAACTAGGTCCCAATTAATTTGTAGTTTAGGGTTGACCTAGGTCATTACTTCCAAGGAGCAATTTATGGGTTTCTTTAGGTAAAAATTCAAGTGATAAAAAAAATAAAATAAATTGGACATAAACTAAAATGCAAAATTCTAATTCTAAATGCAAGATGCAAATGCCCTAAAATAAGTATGAAAATTAAATTAAACTAAATGAATGCAATGCAATTTTTGGGGGGTTTTTTTTTTGAAGGAAAATAAAAATAATGAATAAAGAAAATTAATCTGAAAGCAAAGAGAATTAGCAAGTAAAAATTCTGAAATTTCTCTTCAGGTACGCTAGAGGGGACAACTCAGGATTCGCATGAATTTAACTTTCATAACCTTAATCAGTTAATTAGACCAAAGGGAAGTGATAAGAGTATGGAATTAATAAACTTAATTACCTACTTGAAACAAAGGGAACCCTCAATTTCAAAAACCCTTAAACTATTAGAGAACTCATAACAGTATAAGGTTGGTTAATTAAGCTTATTAAAACCAATGAAAAATAACCCAAGTAATTCTGGAAATTATGTTTGAAATTATCCAATTAAACAATTAGACAATTAACCAACTTAATTTAACAATTAAGAGGCAAAAGAACCCAAATTTTGCAATTCAAACCACATTGATAATTAAACTCATAATGAAAACTCAATTATAAATTCAATTAACAATGCAAAGGTTCCAAACATATATTCCAACAAGTATCTTGGCACAAATAAGATCCAAATATCAATTTAATCCAAGAATAAAATTGACAATCTAGAACTAAATTGTCT